AATTCAAGTAATTTTATTGTTGTATAAACGAGTAGTTAAAAATTTTATTTTTTCTATTAATTCTATTAAATAATTTCTTTTAACAATAGAATATTTGTAATTTCCAAAACTACTAAGTAATTTTGAAGAGTGTATGTAATTTATCTTTTGTTTTATATTTGCACTCATGATCGAAAATTATTCCATCAATTCTTTTGGATTAATTGAAATAAAATGTGAGCTATCAACATTACAATGGGTTCATTTGGGAAGAGCTTTTTGATTTTTTTGACTTTTTGTGAGAGAAAGAATGTAATGATTATGAATTAAATGTAATGTTTTATCTTATTGAGCTAAAAAACTTATTTTATCTTTTTATGACTAAAATAGTCCCAAATCCAACCCAACCCTTCTTTCGACACGAAACCAATATATCGACTGAGTAAGCGTGATCAGAATATTAGTGTCTCAAGTGACATGTTAAATTTCATTATTGTTAGTATTATTTTATATAAGGGCAAAACACCAATAAATCCCAAGTTTTAATTTGTTAAACCATTTGGTCCTGCCTTTTATTTTGTAGACTAATAAGTCCTATTTGAATATTAATTACGTATATACCCATTTATTTAACACGTAATATTTTTTTGATGGAGGGCAAATGTAAGTTTTTACTGATGTTGTAATGACAAAAATACCCAAAAAGCTTACTATTGGCCTTTTTATGATTTCCCTCCTTTCTGAACATCAGCAACATCAACTACATTATCAACATCATCAAACGTCATCAAACATCAACAACGTCATCAACATCCTCAACATCATCAAACATCTACTATATCATCAAACATTGTCTACATCATCAAACATCATCAACATCACCAAAACATTGTGAACATCATCAAACATCAACAACATCAAACATCAACTACATCATCATCATCAAACATCATCAACATCATCAAGCTTACTATATCATCAACATTGTGAACATCAAACATCATCAACATCAGCTACATCTTCAACATTAATCATCAACATTGTGAAACATCAAACATCATCAGTAAACAGTTCGCAAACATTGTAACTAAAGATTAAAAACATATACAACATCAACAACATCAATAAACTATTTAATGAAGTGTACCCACCAAGAACGAAGAGAAAGATTATATATATATATATATCCATCCAAACCCAGAAAGAAAAACCCAAATAGAATATAATTAAAATGTGGGATTTTGAAGCCAATTCATTGAAAACGGACCAATCAACAATGGTGGAGCTGAGGATAAAAGATTCAGAACAGATCCCCTTGTAGATATTCATGATTATATATATATATATATATATCCAAACCCAGAAAGAAAAACCCAAATAGAATATAATTAAAATGTGGGATTTTGAAGCCAATTCATTGAAAACGGACCAATCAACAATGGTGGAGCTGAGGATAAAAGATTCAGAACAGATCCCCTTGTAGATATTCATGTTCTAATATACAATTAAGACCACACCCACCTTCCAGATCAGATGATACAAATAGAATCTCTAAAAAATCATAATCCCATTTTCCCAGTCTGAATAGAAATTACGATGGCCTGTGTGTGTGTGTGTGTGTGAGAGAGAGAGAGAGAGAGAGAGAGAGAGAGAGAGAAAGAGACAACAACTTCAACTACATTTTCAACGTCATCAAACATCAGCAACATCACTAGTAAACATCAAACATCAGCAACGTCGCTGGTATGGCTCCCCACGGCTATGTCGCCGCCACTGCCGCCTCGGCTTCTCCTTCTCCTCTGCTGACACCGCCTCGTCTAGATCGTTTCTTCGTCTTCAAGTTCAAGTTCCAGATTCGCATCTCCATCTCTCTCTAATCTCTCTCTTTTTTTATATATATATATATATATATGTACGGGGAGGAAATAATTCTCCTCGTATAATCCTGTTGACCAAGTCCACGCTCCTCCGTACGACGTCGCTTTACTCTTAACACCCCCCTCACTGCTCAGAGGGTAATCCTTCTCGCCTTGCGCCCCCGTCTGGAGTTAGCCCGTCGACGGCGGACTGCGGTAGTTCTTCAATGTGTGCCATTGATTTGAGAAAAAGGAGAAGCTTAGTCAAGAGGTTTTTGTTCTTGTCTGTTCTTCCCACATACGGCGCCAATTGTACGGGGAGGAAATAATTCTCCTCGTGTAATCCTGTTGACCAAGTCCACGCTCCTCCGTACGACGTCGCTTTGTCACCTGAAAACACAAACGTGAGCTAGCCGGCGGGTGTGTGCCGGAAACCTCTCCGATGCCTAAGTCAGTAAGCTTGACAAATAGACAAAGTTTTATGTTCTCAAAAAGAATTGTGTTCAATTACCTCCCCCAAGGTGATGTTTGTGGGCTTTTATAAGTTTCCCGTGGCACAATCCTGGTAGGACTTGTATTCCTCCATGCAGAGTCCTCCTAGGATTCATACTCCTAAGGATAATGCTTATCCTTTCACACCCTCCCCCACTCCTTTAAACCAAGTGGGATGGTTTTCTCCATGGCCGAACCACCATTTGACCGAAATAAAACTTGGCTTGTATTGAGCCACCGAATGGACCGAACTCATTCATAGTTCGGTTCTTTTGTCTTCCCTTTCTTATCTCGGCTTTCCATATAGAACCCATAGTACGGTTTTAGACCGAACCAGCGACTTTCGACCGGTTTAACTCCCAAACTGGTATACCTCTAAGGTCGGTATAACTTCAAGTTGCTCCCAGACCGAAGTACATTTACAATCCTTTAACCGAAGTAACTTTATCATTTGTGAGCCGAAGTAATTTCAGCTCCTTGGGCCGGAGTAACTTTGTCTCCCCAAGGCCGGAGTAACCTTGCTCTCCTGGGCCGGAGTATCCTTTACGGCCTTTTTACTTAGTCCTTCGCGTTTTGAGCCTCAAAGCCCAACTCGCAGCTCGGCCCAATTTTTCCCAAAAATTACCCTCTCAATATATATATATGTTGTGAACAGTTTCCAAAGGTTTCTCCTATGGCTGTTCTGATTGCGAACATTATTGGAGAGATTGAGAGATCTACAAAATGAAATCAATATGGGTAAAAATGTAAACTCCATATATAATATATTAAAAACATATATCATACCAAAAATAAAAAGGACTAAATGATTTAAGAAAAAATACTTAAGACTAACTAGAGTAACATTTACTAAAATGAGATTTATTAATAATTTTTTCTTTATATAATGGGTTTTGTACATAGAAAGTGAAATAAAGTAGAAAATAATTTTATAATTTCGTTTTTTACAAATTGATAGCACGTGCATTAAAAAAATATTTGAACATAGATTGGAGATGTTAAATTTCATTTATTTATTTATTTTTATATCATGGGTTTTGTACATAGAAAGCGAAATAAAGTAGAAAATAAATTTATAATTTTTTTTTACAAAATGATAAGACCGGTATTAAAAACGTGTTTGAGCATAGCACAAGTAGATTGAAGAGTAGAAAATAAATTTATAATTTTTTTTTACAAAATGATAAGACCGGTATTAAAAACGTGTTTGAGCATAGCACAAGTAGATTGAAGAGTAGAAAATAAATTTATAATTTTTTTTTACAAAATGATAAGACCGGTATTAAAAACGTGTTTGAGCATAGCACAAGTAGATTGAAGAGTAGAAAATAAATTTATAATTTTTTTTTACAAAATGATAAGACCGGTATTAAAAACGTGTTTGAGCATAGCACAAGTAGATTGAAGAGTAGAAAATAAATTTATAATTTTTTTTTACAAAATGATAAGACCGGTATTAAAAACGTGTTTGAGCATAGCACAAGTAGATTGAAGAGTAGAAAATAAATTTATAATTTTTTTTTACAAAATGATAAGACCGGTATTAAAAACGTGTTTGAGCATAGCACAAGTAGATTGAAGAGTAGAAAATAAATTTATAATTTTTTTTTACAAAATGATAAGACCGGTATTAAAAACGTGTTTGAGCATAGCACAAGTAGATTGAAGAGTAGAAAATAAATTTATAATTTTTTTTTACAAAATGATAAGACCGGTATTAAAAACGTGTTTGAGCATAGCACAAGTAGATTGAAGAGTAGAAAATAAATTTATAATTTTTTTTTACAAAATGATAAGACCGGTATTAAAAACGTGTTTGAGCATAGCACAAGTAGATTGAAGAGTAGAAAATAAATTTATAATTTTTTTTTACAAAATGATAAGACCGGTATTAAAAACGTGTTTGAGCATAGCACAAGTAGATTGAAGAGTAGAAAATAAATTTATAATTTTTTTTTACAAAATGTAAGACCGGTATTAAAAACGTGTTTGAGCATAGCACAAGTAGATTGAAGGGAAGCGTTGAATCTATGATTATATTAACTTGAAGAAAAAAAAAAACCAGTATTAAAATTGCATAATAAAAACAACTTAGCATCAACATTAATTTAAAAACTCTAACCTCGTTTGGAAAGTTGAATTGGTTTTTTAACTTTTTATCTATTTTTAATCTAGGCTAAAAAAATCATTTGGATTGACTTTTTAAAATTTTTGTGAAATAAAAAATGAAATAATTATGATTTTGATCTGACATTTTGAATTGTTTGAAAAGATGGTTAAAAATTAACTTTTTGATTTTTTTGAAAAAACGTGTAAAAAAGTAGAGTGATGATGTGACCCAAAATAAGTTAAAAGTTGAAAGATGATTTTTAATAATCTTTTCAAAATAGCTATTTATCTTATTGATTGTTTTAACTTATTTTGTCTTTTTGTGTTTAATTTATTAAAAAGCCAACCCAATCCAATTACCAAACGACACTATATATTTATGGGTAATTTGGGAAGCTAGTTAGATTTTAACCTATTTTGAATCACATTACATCTTACATTTTTTACACATAAAAGGACAAAAAAAAAATAGTTATGTTAGAAATCTTAAATAATTTATCAATTTTTTTATAAAAACTTTTATATGAGTGTGAGACTCACCCTAGTAGCTTGTTTAGTGCTACCACACATTTGCTCACCACGTCTGAAATATTTGATTTGCTTTTTTTTTTTTCCCTTTCCTTTTTCACAATGTCTTTTTTTTCTTTTAAAGATATTCCTATATGAGTTTCTTCAAGCAGGAAGACAAGGAACCTGTATTTGACAGTGTCAAAACAGTCATAGGAATGCTGGAAGTGTCAGCAGAGTTCGCACAGAACATTACCTTTAATCGGGAGAGAATAAAGAAGGCTTTACCAGCTGGTCATCTCGATGCCACTACACTCGCAGATTATCTGGTGAAAAAGGCAAGTCATGCCCCTAACTCGCTCATCATTTTTATACTTGCAGAACATTACCTTCTCATTTTTCTTTCCCTCCCTAAGTATATACATCAGGATGGGTTGATTATGACTGTTAAGTTTAAGCTATCCCAAATAACAATGGAACATTCGGATACCCTATAAATTGAAATGATTTTATCCCTAGTTTCAACAATCTTTCTCATCATTCAATTTGATTTGTTGCAAAACTAATTGTACAAGATTAGGACGCTTTTTTTTCCCTAAAATCCTTGAGAACATAAATTCAAATATACATCAGGCAAATAAAATCATTCAGATGATATGGAAATTGAAAGACACTTGGATATTTTTTTACAAAGCAGGAACATTTTTGACACGTGTCAAACACAGAAGCGAACACATGATGGTATTTGGATATCAACATTGATAAGACCCCCTCCAATCACCCCCCCCCCAACACACACACGTGGCGGGTGGTGATTGGAGGAGAAAGAAAAAAAAAGAAAAGAAAAACTGGCCGACGGGAGGGAAAGGGGGTTTGAAACATTTTTCTTTGGATATTTCAAAAGGTGAGGAGGCTGAAGTGCTCTGCATGCATACCACATGTAAATAAAATGGATTTTAGCCATTAGTTAATTACTTGTCTGACTGTGTGTATATATATGTATAGCTTAATATGTAATTAAATTAGAAATTAGGTTAAAAATTAGATAAAAAGATTAAGAGAATTCAGGTTTAAAACTTTTCTTCACGGAGCTAGAAGTGCAGCTGCTATGACTTTCAGAAGTAGTTTCTTGATGTATATTGTTTCCACACATTTGAAATAAATTCAGGAGCATCTTCTAAATGATCTCCGCCAACTATGCCCTTCACCAACTCGTCCTATTTGTTTGCTTTTTCTGACTTTATGACAAAGGAGTTTAAGGTGTTCGTTGTATTTTCTGCAGGGAATTCCTTTCAGAACCTCTCATGATATAGTCGGAAGGTCCGTTGCATTATGTGTATCTAAAAACTGCCAGCTGCAGGATCTCAGTCTTGAGGAGTTGAGAAGTATTAATCCGGTGTTTGACAAGGATGTATATGGGTTTCTTGGAGTAGAAAATGCTATCAAGAAATTCTGCTCGTATGGTTCCACAGGTGCAGAACAAGTTGCTAGTCAACTCCAGTACTGGATTAATAAGCTTAACCTCAACAGAGGGAATGACCAGTAATGAATGGTGCGATGGAGGGTTTTTGAGACAAGTGTGTGCTATAGTTGAAGATTTGGTTCGTGAAAAAATGGAAATATATAGCAAAAGAATCCGATCTTCACCTTTTAAAAAATAAAGTTTTTCGGTCACAATTGACATCTTTACTATGCAATTGTTGTTGTATGGAAGAGCTCGAGACATTCATGAATTAGTGACTCTCTCTCTCTCTCTCTCCCCGGATGTTTTTGTTTTTTGGTTTTGACCCTTTTTGATTTTTGGTTGGAAGCATTGGTATATGCAATGAAATAAAGAATTATTTTCGACATTATTATTCAAATTTTGTCTTAAACAACTTCGTGTTTGGATTTCTGAGGACACTGTTTTGTATA